CAGGACCTGATCCTGTCAGGACCTGATCCTGTCAGGACCTGATCCTGTCAGGACCTGATCCTGTCAGGACCTGTCCCTGTCAGGATATGTCCCTGTTAGGACCTGTCTCTGTCAGGATATGTCCCTGTTAGGACCTGTCTCTGTCAGGACCTGATCCAGTCAGGACCTGATCCTGTCAGGACCTGTCCCTGTCAGGATATGTCCCTGTCAGGACCTGATCCTGTTAGGACCTGTCCCTGTCAGGATATGTCCCTGTTAGGACCTGTCTCTGTCAGGACCTGATCCAGTCAGGACCTGATCCTGTCAAGACCTGTCCCTGTCAGGATATGTCCCTGTCAGGACCTGATCCTGTCAGGACCTGATCCTGTCAGGACCTGATCCTGTCAGGACCTGTCCCTGTCAGTACCTGTCCCTGTCAGGACATGTCTCTGTCAGGACCTGTCCCTGTCAGGACCTGTCCCTGTCAGGACCTGATCCTGTCAGGACCTGATCCTGTCAGGACCTGATCCTGTCAGGACCTGATCCTGTCAGGACCTGTCCCTGTCAGGACCTGATCCTGTCAGGACCTGTCCCTGTCAGGACCTGTCCCTGTCAGGACCTGATCCTGTCAGGACCTGTCCCTGTCAGGACCTGATCCTGTCAGGACCTGTCCCTGTCAGGACCTGTCCCTGTCAGGACCTGATCCTGTCAGGTCCTGTCCCTGTCAGGACCTGTCAGCTTTAGATCAACGTTACCATGAAAACAACAGGTTCTTGTTTTTCTGTGATGTTTTTTAGAAACAAGTCAATCTGCTCCGTAAATAAAAAATAAACACGTGAACAAAGCTCCTCCTACCTGTGATCTAAATAAATGTTATAGTTTAGTAATAATTATAATTAAATAAGTTTAGTAATATAGTTATAGTAAGTTTGTCAGGCCTGTAATCATGTTATCAGGTGGTTTATTTGGCTGCAGCTAACGGACAAAAAGAAAAAAAACTCTTTGAACAAGTTTAGATAAAAACTTTCAGGAAACAACATCTGGATGCTCCGAGCTCCAAACCTTCATCAGTTGCAGACGAACATCTCATCTGCATCTGATGAACTTTTGCAGTCAACCAAATTCAAAATGGCTGCCGTAGCTGTGTGACCTTAAAAGCCAGCTGTAGTTCAGTCCGTTTTACAGATGTTGGGTGATAATCTGGTGTGGTAGTAGCTGAGAGTTAACCACAACATATAATCCAAGTGCCACTCATTGTGTGAGGTCTTTCCTTAAAACGTTAGCAGTTACTGGGTGGGTCCAGTCTTTCTGCCTGTTAGCACAATATCTCATAAACCATTAGATAGATTTTCAGCAGGTCCAGAAATAACTATTAGTCAGGTGAAGCAGAGCTGTGCAGATGAAAGTATTGTTATAAAAACATAACATCTGCACAAACGTGTGTTTTTTCTACAGTATTTCTTGTGATGACAGAGTAAAATGTTGCAGCTCAGTGTTTTCAGAACTCACCTACAGAAACTGATCAGGGACTCGCAGGAAAAAGCTGAAACTTGACAGAAAGCTGTCAGATGGTCTTTTTCCTCCTAAGGGAAGATGACCTCAGCAGAATAAGTCCTGGTGAAATCTGAGTCCTGAGCTCTGAAAAGTCTTCTTCTTCTTTTCCATGTGTACCCACAATCCTGTGGTGGTGGTCTGGCAGGTTTCAGCCTCTGTCAGCACATCTGTCCTGCTGAAGACCCTCTGAGGTCTGGGAACAAACACTTCCTGACTCAGGCCGGCAGCAGTTCTGCACGTGTGTTGCTTTAAACAAACAATGGCTGTTAAAATACAGGATTTATTTTTAATTTTTTTGATATGAAATTTGTGTGTATAATCTGGGATTAAAATAACCTAAAACAGATTCATTGATGTAAGAACTGAGTCAGGTTTGATTGCAACAAATATAAAACATTTGTTTACATTCAAACAATGACCAGTCCACTTCAGACAGTCTTAGTGGATGTCAAAATAATCCCTGATGTAAACAGTCAAGAAAATAATCCCTGATGTAAGCAGTCAGTAAAATAATCCCTGATGTAAGCAGTCAGTAAAATAATCCCTGATGTAAGCAGTCAGTAAAATAATCCCTGATGTAAGCAGTCAAGTAAATAATCTCTGATGTAAACAGTCAAGTAAATAATCCCTGATGTAAGCAGTCAAGTAAATAATCCCTGATGTAAGCAGTCAAGTAAATAATCCCTGATGTAAACAGTCAAGTACATAATCCCTGATGTAAACAGTCAAGTAAATAATCCCTGATGTAAACAGTCAAGTAAATAATCTCTGATGTAAACAGTCAGTAAAATAATCCCTGATGTAGACAGTCAAGTAAATAATCCCTGATGTAAACAGTCAAGTAAATAACCTGTGATGTAAACAGTCAGTAAAATAATCCCTGATGTAAACAGTCAGTAAAATAATCCCTGATGTAAACAGTCAGTAAAATAATCCCTGATGT